ATATTCCAGGAGGGGGTGCATATATGCAAAAATGTACATACCCGAACCACCTCCTTAGAACTGCCCCCGTTTGACCATCTTTATCTTCCAAGAAAGGCAGAGAGCTTTCAGACCCTCAGACTTGCTTACCTGGCTCTGAGATGCTCTCACAAGATCCCACGGGACTGTCTGAGTTCCTGCAAGATCTTGTGAGAGCATCCCAGAGCCTGCTAAGGAAGCTTGAGAGTTTAAAAGCTCTTTCCATGCAAAAGGAGCTTGTAAGCTCTCCGCCTTGCGTGCAATTAATTTGCGAGATTTCAACCGGTTGGCTTTCAACTATGTAAGGTTGAAATTGTGCAAAATCGGATCATACTGTACACACTTATTTGGGATTAAAGCCCATCAAATTCCTAAGACTCTGCTGCAAACAGTGTTGGATTACCCAATAGGCACCCTAAACATGTATTTAGGATGCCAGCAAAGGATGTCGCCAAAAAAGAGAGACAGAGTACTGCTTTGCCTCTCAAAGCATAACCATTTTTAATTTGCTTCTGATTTGTTTCATTTGTCTCTGACTTACAAGATCATGTAAGAGATTTGCCTCCGACTTACAACATATAACAAAAGCCTTCATTTAACCAAACCAGCTCTGGTCACGCAAAATGTTGCCCAAACACATCCTGTCATTTAATCTAGCTCATGTCCAGGAGACACTTTGTGGTACGTGCCAATTACCCTAATCTTAACCTGTATCGCTTTTCTATCTACCATTTTGAAAAAGAAGAAAGACCGAAAAAGCTTTAATCAGAAAGCCCTGTATGATCTCAGGGAAATAACCCTGAAGTGAAAATCATGCTTGTTCTCTTGTATCGTTTACTTTTGCATTTAAATGTTGATGAGAAGCACTCCCTTTTAAGAGGGCAGATAGCACATCTTTTTAATAGAATTACACCAAAAGGAAGCACAGTCCTTTGACTCAAAGGCTAAATTGGTAATGCGGGCAGGGAGAGAGACAGGCCCATGTATGGCACAGGATTAGCCAGTGAGGCAGGTGCCTGAGGCTCTGGCAGCAGTCCCATTAACAACACCCCCAGCCCTCTATAGCAGCCCACTTGCCAGCTCCTCAGTCAGCCTGCTGCCCTCAGCACCAGTGGAGGATGCTGTTCCATCACCAATGCCAAAGTAAATCTAGTTATATTTTCTGCATATGCCTTTTGTTGGGGGAATCGTGTAATTTTTTAAAAAACATGAGACTTTTCTAACTTACCTGATGGCATTATAAGCAATCATCTTTGCTATACTCAGGCAGAAAAGTGGAGTGTTTAGGAGAACAAATGGCTGAGTGTGTGTGTGTGTGTAAAAGGTAAAGTAAAGGGACCCCTGACCATCAGGTCCAGTTGTTGCCGACTCTGGAGTTGTGGCGCTCATCTCGCTTTATTGGCCAAGGGAGCCGGCGTACAGCTTCCGGGTCATGTGGCCAGCATGACTAAGCCGCTTCTGGCAAACCAGAGCAGCGCACGGAAACGCCGTTTACCTTCCCGACGGAGTGGTACCTATTTATCTACTTGCACTTTGACGGGCTTTCGAACTGGTAGGTTGGCAGGAGCTGGGACCGAGCAACGGGAGCTCACCCCATCGCAGAGATTCAAACCGCCGACCTTCTGATCGTCAAGTCCTAGGCTCTGTGGTTTAACCCACAGCGCCACCCGCATCCCGTGTGTGTGTGTGTGTGTGTGTGTGTATATATATTCACACCATATTGCCCTTCAATTCAGGAAGCAAAATGTACCAGGCCGGTCCTTGTCACGGTGGCAAACAGCTGTCTGCCTACAAAGTATTGATATCGGACTGGGGAGGAAGGCTGGTCTGGATGGCATCTGTGGGTCCCCTCTGAGCCTGTATTTATATCTACATAACGTAGAAAGAGAGGCTGTTAAAAGTTGCCAGACTTACACAATAGAAATCTGGAGTGTGGTCTGCACATCACATAAGGCACCTCGTTTCCTAGAAAAGTCTCTGTGTCACCCCTTCCTCCCATTTATTGTGAAAAAGCATCGTTTAACTAGCCAATCTAGTTGTTCGTTACTGTGTTATATATTTCTGTGTTTTTATATTGTAAACCAACCTCTGATCATCAGATGAAGGGCAGTATAGACATTAAATAAAGAACTTAATAGATGCCTTCAGACTCTATGATGGAATATTGCCCTTGATTGCTTATTATCGCCCTGGCCATTTTTGCAGCTTAGCAGACCGTTTCCCCCCTCTCTTTTCCTCAGTCTTTGCATGCAAAAGTGAAAGCATTATACAGTGGGACCTCGGGTTAAGAACTTAATTCGTTCTGGAGGTCCGTTCTTAACCTGAAACTGTTCTTAACCTGAAGCACCACTTTAGCTAATGGGGCCTCCCGTTGCCGCCACACGATTTCTGTTCTCATCCTGAAGCAAAGTTCTTAACCCGAGGTACTATTTCTGGGTTAGTGAAGTCTGTAACCCGAGGTACCTGTATTCTATTCCTCTCCTGTGGCCTGCCAGGCCTAGGCCTTCAGGGCCTGCCTCTTATAGACACCAGCCTCCATTAAATAATTCTGAAGAACTCCATGAGATAAAAAATAGGTGCCTAGTGCCTGTTGGCTTTCCCAGAATCTGTGGTTTTTCATTACATCTGATTTACACACACACACACATACACACACACACACACACTAATTAACTTATGGAATCAGCTACCATAGGATAGCTTTAGATGGGAGTGAAGACAAGTGCATGGAGGATACAGTTATCAGTGGATCTCTGCTGCCAGAAGGATCACAGGCGAGGTGGGAGTTGGGGGTGCATTGATGGCTCCCTGTTTGTGGCTGACTCCCCAAGGAGGCTCACCAGGTGCCTTCATTACACACCTTGAGGCACCAGGCGGACACCTTCTTCAACCAGCCCCTTGGCTAATATCTGATACCCTTCAAAGGGGAGTTGGGGGGCATTTGTGGGAGGGAGGGAGGGGGTTTTGTTTTGTTCTTATTATGCATTACGTCTCCTTGTATTGTTTTTTATGCTGTGAACCGCTCTTGCATCCCTTCTCTTTTACACCTCTCTTTTAAATCAGAACCAGTGAAGGTCCTGTGTGAGTGTCTGGAGGTGGTTGGAGGATGGATGGTGGCTAACAGATTGAGGTTGAATCCTGATAAGACAGAAGTACTGTTTCTGGGGGACAGGGAGAGGGTGGGTGTGGGGAACTCCCTGATCATGAACGGGGTAACTGTGCCCCTGAAGGACCAAGTGTGCAGCCTGGGAGTCATTTTGGACTCACAGCTGTCCATGGAGGTGCAGGTCAATTCTGTGTCCAGGGCAGCTGTTTACCAGTTCCATCTGGTATGCAGGATGAGACCCTCCCTGCCCACAGACTGTTGCGCCAGAGTGGTGCATGCTCTGGTTATCTCCTCCTTGGACTACTGCAATGGTCTCTACGTGGGGCTACCTTTGAAGGTGACCAGGAAACTACAATTAATCCAGAATGCTCCAGCTAGACTGGTGACTGGGAGCGGCCGCCAAGACCACATAACACCGGTCTTGAAAGACCTACACTGGCTCCCAGTATGTTTCCGAGCACAAATCAAAGTGTTGGTGCTGACCTTTAAACCCCTAAATGGCCTCAGCCCAGTATACCTGAAGGAGCATCTCCACCCCCATCATTCTAGCTGGACACTGAGGTCCAGCGCCGAGGGCCTTCTCACTGCGAGAAGCCCAGTTACAGGGAACCAGGCAGAGGGCCTTCTCGGTAGTGGCTCCCGCCCCGTGGAACGCCCTCCCACCAGGAGAAAATTAACTACCAAACTTTTAGAAGACATCTGAAGGCAGCCCTGTTTAGGGCAGCTTTTAATGTTTGATGTATTTTAATATTTGGTTCAGCATCTTAAAAAGCAGAGACATCACCTTGCCAACAAAGGTCTGTATAGTTAAAGCTATGGTTTTCCCAGTAGTGGTGTATGGAAGTGAGAGCTGGACCATAAAGAAGGCTGATCACCAAAGAATTGATGCTTTTGAATTATGGTGCTGGAGGAGACTCTGGAGAGTCCCATGGACTGCAAGAAGATCAGACCTCTCCATTCTTAAGGAAATCAGCCCTGAGTGCTCACTGGAAGGACAGATCCTGAAGCTGAGGCCCCAATACTTTGGCCACCTCCTGAGAAGAGAAGACTCCCTGGAAAAGACCCTGATGTTGGGAAAGATGGAGGGCACAAGGAGAAGGGGACGACAGAGGACGAGATGGTTGGACAGTGTTCTCGAAGCTACCAGCATGAGTTTGACCAAAGTGCGGGAGGCAGTGGAAGACAGGAGTGCCAGGTGTGCTCTGGTTGGTCCATGGGGTCACGAAGTCGGACACGACTAAATGACTAAACAACAACAGGACAGCATCATGTCCCCTTCAGGACAGAGCAGTCATTGGTTGATTGCAATAGGGGTCAGTCATGGCTACTTGCAAATATGCCTCAAGTCTTGCTTTTGGCGTGCTCTGGTCCATGGGGTCACGAAGAGTCGGACACGACTAAGCGACTAAACAACAACAAAGAACATAAGGACAGACCAAGCCAATGGCCCATCTCGCCTCTGCTCTCACAGTGGTCAAACTGAGGCCTGTGGGAAGTCTGCAAGCAAGACCTGAGCTCTAAAGCACCCTCCCTTCTTCCAGCAACTAGTATGCAGAAGCATAAAGATCCGATAGCGGAGGCCATTTCTGGACCTTTTCCTGGTCTCCTTTACCATGTAAAGCAGGAGGAAGGAACCTTTATCAGCTGGGCTGGGTTACAATTCTCTTGTGGCTAACCTTCTCGGGAGGGTCACGAAGAGTCGGACACGACTAAACGACTAAAGAACAACAAATTATTATTATTATTACATCTACATCAGTGCTATTTTCCTAGAAAAAAGAGGTTCCAGAACTCACTATGAACACCTCCCCCCTTCTTTTTAGAATGGCAAAGGCCAAAAATCAGAAATAAACCCGTGCGCCCCGCTGCGTAAAGCGCAGCCTTTCCCCGCGCGCAGCCCGGCCGGAGACCCGCGGGACCCCCTTGGCTCGGAGGGGTCGAGCTGCGCAGGCCCGGCCTCCTCGTCTCCCAGCGAAGGGGCGCGGTGGGCGGCCAGGCTCCGCGGCTCCGCCTCGCCCAAGCCAGGCCGGCCGAGCAGGCGGGCGGGCGGGACTCCGGGTGCGCCTCCCCGGCTTCTGCGTCAGAGCGCTGCGCGCAAGCGGAGGCCCGCCGTCTCCACGCCGCAGGTAGGAAGAAGCGCCGCTGGGCGAGGAGCGGGGCCCCCGGCTCGCGAGGAAGCAGGCAGGCAGGCAGGCAGGCGGGCGGGCGCTGGCCTCCCGTTTAGCCCGGTGGCGGTGGAGGGACTGCATTCCCCGCAGCGCCAAAGCGGGTGGCCTCGGGGGTCCCTGGGCCCAGAGCTGGTTGCGCCTTTCCGGGGAGGGGGGAGATCTGCTGGATCCGGCCGCGAGGCGTCCCCTGACCCACAGGATCGCCCAGGGGCCTCTTCTGGAAAGTGCCCCCAACACCCCCCCCAAAAGAAAGGAAAAGCTCTCCGCAGTTCTCATTTTCTTACTTATTCTGTATACCGCCCTTCATCCGTAGATCCCAGGGCGGATCACAGCATTAAAATCACCAAATATTAAAAACAAGAACAGGAGCAAAACAAACCAGTAGCCCCCTTCTCCCCACCCCTTTCCACAAACACGTTTGTGTTAAAAATGTGTTTCTGGGAGGGGGTGGTTTTGTTTTGTTTTGATTATGTATTTCGTGTTTAGAGTGGATCCCCACTAAGCATTTGTTAAAACATGTGCAGCACATGTTTAATGCACATGACTTCCCCCTGCTGCCAAAGAATCCTGGGAATTGTAGTTTCCATCCCAGAGAGGCTACGGTTCCCAGAATTTTTTTTTGAGGGGAGAGGGAGGAGCCATGCGCTTCAGATTGTGGTGTGTGTGTTTGAATGTGCTTTAAATGCATGGTGTGCATGCGGACCTGGGCAATTCATTTGGCTATTGTAGTTAATGAAGCACTTTTTCCTTTGAGTTGCATCTGCTGGGTTTGCAGGAGCAGAAAGAGTTTCTGCTTGTGTAAGGCAGGCTGCCTGGTTTTTGTCAAGAAGCACCAACCTTTGCTGCTACTGCTGCCTCCGTTTCCACCCAGGGGTGGGGAGAAGCCGGTCCTATGTGATTATGGCCCAGAAAGATGAAGTAGGGTGGGGGGTGGAGTCAGTGAAAATAGTGTGCCACCTTTTTGTACAACACTTCGTGTTTGGGGCCGGATTAGTTGAAGGACACTGGCTGTGGGCCCATTTTGGCCTACTTTGACTCCAATCTGCTCCCACTACATGTGTTTGAAGCAGTACAGTGGTACCTCAGGTTACATACGCTTCAGGCTACAGACTCCGCTAACCCAGAAATAGTGCTTCAGGTTAAGAACTTTGCTTCAGGATGAGAACAGAAATCGTGCTCCAGCGGCGCGGCAGCAGCAGGAGGCCCCATTAGCTAAAGTGGTGCTTCAGGTTAAGAACAGTTTCAGGTTAAGAACGGACCTCTGGAACGAATTAAGTACTTAACCTGAGGACCACTGTATTAGAAACTGAGATATGAAAGCTAGGAGCTGAATGACTCCTTAAAACCTAGGTTATGGGTGCAAGAATGGAATGCCTAGGTGCCCTTTTTAATAACAGGAATACAAACTTAAAATGAATGAACTGCCGCTAAAATATTAAGTTAATTTTTCACATGGTCTAGTCCTTCCCCTAGGGACGCGGGTGGCGCTGTGGGTTAAACCACAGAGCCTAGGACTTGCTGATCAGAGGGTCAGTGGTTCGAATCCCCGCACCGGGGTGAGCTCCCAACTGCTCCTGCCAACCTAGCAGTTCGAAAGCACGTCAAAGTGCAAGTAGATAAATAGGTACCACTCTGGCAGGAAGGTAAACGGCGTTTCAATGCGCTGCTCTGGTTCGCCAGAAGCGGCTTCGTCATGCTGGCCACATGACCCAGAAGCTGTACGCCGGCTCCCTTGGCCAATAAAGCGAGATGAGCCCGCAAGCCCAGAGTCGGTCACGACTGGACCTAACTGTCAGGGGTCCCTTTACCTTTACGTTTTAGTCCTTCCCCTGCCCACCCCCCTAATATTCTTAAGAGGGTCTCTTCTCAAGTCTTCAGAGAGCAGCTACAAGTGGGGAGGCAGAAAAAAGTCCTTTCCCTCCACTCTGCAGTTTTAATCTGAAATCTTAGGCACAGTACTGCGCCCTGAGCTCAGAAATTCCCTGTCGCACAATGCGCCTAGAACAATGGGAGTTTTGAACACTGGTTTGTAGCTGAGTGCACGTGGCATTAGCCACAGTACCTTGTAGCTTCTTGACAAAGGCTCAGACAGCCCTTGCACTGGCACAGATGGCAGCTTAAGTGAATTGGAGTTTGGTAACGGGCCTGGGATGAATCTATAGCCCTGCCACCTATGTGGTGTGAACATCGGCCAAGAAAGCAGCCTGGGGTGGGGATGTGATCTAACTATGTTTCAGGCCTCTAATGTGTACAGAGCCTGTAGAGTTCACCATCCTTTGCGATAAGCATCAGTGTGGCCTCCTTGTTAGCCTGCCTTTATGATAAGTTAGACTGGCAGCCACTAAGGAAGGCCTGTATTATAAAAGGACCCTATTCTATGGGAGGCCCAATGAATGGCCCCTTCAGTCCAGCATTGAAAGCGGCTTTTGACTGATGGGATTTTATTGGCCATGGCAGTTCTGTTGCTTGAATTACACCGTGAAATATCGGTGCTTGCTTATAATGTATTATATAAGTTTTAAATATGTTTTATGTTTTTGATGTTTGCCAGCTTGAGAAAGACTACACAGAAAGGGGTGAGGCGGTATCGACAAATAAAATGCCTGCCTAAACTGAGTTCTGCAAAACACAGCAAATGAGTGGATGAAGGCTTTTCAACTTCATCACTCAAGGGAAACCGTCCTCCAACAGCTATAGGTGAAAGTGCATCTGATTCCGGATTATTTTAAGCAAGGTACTGTTTTCTGCACACTTAACCCTACTTCTTAAATCATCTGTGCTCTGTCCACATACTGATTTTTGGAGTTCTCAAACTCTTTTCTGAATGCTTGCACCCTAGTACTTTGCATTGTGCTGAGGTGCAAGCGTTTGGGCAGCTGTGACTGCAACGTGTGGACTGTGCGCAACAGACGAGAGAGAGGATTCATTGAAACAGGGCGGTCTTTATTCCAGATTACTTAATCCAGAATGCTTTGGGTACTGCCGCTCCGCTGCTGGCACGTACTCCCGAGAAGGTTAGCCACAAGAGAATTGTAACCCATCCCAGCTGATAAAGGTTCCTTCCTCCTGATTTACATGGTAAAGGAGACCAGGAAAAGGTCCAGAAATGGCCTCCACTATCAGATCTTTATGCTTCTGCATACTAGTTGCTGGAAGAAGGGAGGGTGCTTTAGAGCTCAGGTCTTGCTTGCAGGGATCCCACAGGCCTCAGTTTGACTACTGTGAGGCTAGATGGGCCATTGGCTTGGTCCAGTAGGCTGTCCTTATGTTCTTTGTTGTCGTTTAGTCGTGTCCGACTCTTCATGACCCCCTGGACCAGAGCACGCCAGGCACTCCTGTCTTCCACTGCCTCCCGCAGCTTGGTCAAACTCATGCTGGTAGCTTTGAGAACACTGTCCAACCATCTCGTCCTCTGTTGTTCCCTTCTCCTTGTGCCCTCCATCTTTCCCAACATCAGGGTCTTTTCCAGGGAGTCTTCTCTTCTCATGAGGTGGCCAAAGTATTGGAGCCTCAGTTTCAGGATCTGTCCTTCCAGTGAGCACTCAGGGCTGATTTCCTTCAGAATGGATCGGTTTGATCTTCTTGCAGTCCATGGGACTCTCAAGAGTCTCCTCCAGCACCATCATTCAAAAGCATCAATTCTTCGGCAGTCAGCCTTCTTTATGGTCCAGCTCTCACTTCCATACATCACTACTGGGAAAACCATAGCTTTAACTATACGGACCTTTGTTGGCAAGGTGATGTCTCTCCTTATGTTCTTAAGCGGATTCAAATCAGATATGGTGCTTTATGTCTGTTAAACCCCCAGTACAATGGCTATTGTAAGGGAAAGAAGCAGGGAGCAATCCTCAGGTATGCCTGCCTGTAATGATATTCAGGGTTAGCAGTTTCTGAGGGGAAGCATGTTTGGAGGACGACTTTCTTTATTGGGTAAAAGCCTACGGATAAAATTTGAAGTGGTGGTACTACGCAGACTTCTAAATACCTGCAGGCACAAGGCCGTTATTTTCAAAAACAAGCAAGTAGAAAGCGAGCCCTTTCAAATTTTGGATATATCTGTTAAAAATGAGATACAGGTTTGATGTCCTGGAATTATTAGCCTGCTGGAGAATGCTTTCATGGTCATTTTGTCCTTACATCTATTCATATTTCTGTAATAGTTTAAGGCTACAGCTTTGTGAATTAACAGTTATCAAACTCTTCCCATCAACTCTCTGCAACACTACACTTGGAATATCGGCACAATAAAGTTCACGGTATTTTTTCAAAACCATAAATATATTTCCAAGTGTCCAGAAATGGTACTTTATCTTCTGGTGTGGCATGAGGTGAAGGGAAAAAACAAGGAGGGGTGTATTTATTTCTGAAGCCTCTCTCCCTCTCTGCCCCAAAATGTGGGACAGCACACCTGTGTGTAACCTTTTCTCTAATCTGAATGGAAGAGTCTAGGTTAGAGTTTCCCAGACTTCATAACCTTCATCCTGGTGACCCACAGCAAAAATACAATTAAAAATCAGGTACCATTTAGCACAGCAAAGTGCAATAGCTACAACAGCTGAAGACCTTTACCAATTTCAAAGTGGACTGGAGGGGGAGAAATTTGCTGGCCATGAGATTTGCTATTCCTGTAGGTTGCCTGTAAGCAGTACTTCCGGGCAGAAATATAAGGGTCGCCCTTTAAAAATCATTCCTGCTGCATCATTCAGTCGTTCCTTCATTTTGCAGGAACTGGCCAATATACATTTGATTCAAGTAGTGTGCTTACCCACAGAATAGCTTCCCTTTTATACATTCCTTGCTTAGTGGCTCTGCAGAATGTTCTGTTCCGCCCCCACTTTTTAAAAACCTTTCTGGCCTTCTCTCAGAACTGGGATTATTTGTTTTTTTTTTAAAGTTTTTTATTTATACAGCAAGAAAAACACACACACACAAATACCAAATTACACACAAATTACACAAATAACCATAGACACATAATTTTCTTAGCAAACAATAAAACATATATTGGTCTTAACACTAAAGACCCAACTTCCCGTCTATTCCATATTTCAAATTCATATTACTTTTTGCCAGTACACGCTTTTATCATAATTAAACTTATTCTCAATAAATCTAATTTCTTATATCTACCTTGCAAGTATTACTGAAGTTCCTTGAATGCTGCAACAGAATTTAAACTACTATATTTATTTTTCAGATAATCTTTGAAAACCTCCCATTTTGAAACAAATTCCTGTTTTGATTTATTCTTTATTTTTTCTGATAAACCATCTAATTCGGCATATTCTGTCAGCTTTTGGATCCAATCTTGTATAGAGGGGATTTCATTACTCTTCCATTTTGCTGCGATCAAAACTCTTGCTGCCGCTGTCGCATATAAAAAGATACCCTTCCTCTTTTGTGGAATATCCAAATCTGTTATTCCCAGGAGGTAGGCCTCTGGTTTTTTATTGAAAGAGATCTTTAGCGTTTTTTGCAGTTCTATATGGATACTCTCCCAGAATACTTGTATTTTCCTACATATCCACCACATATAGTAGAATGTTGCGAACTGGGATTATTTGGAAGGAAATTTTTGTTGCTCTTATGTAGAACCGTCGTTCAGTTTTGGCACAAGGCATAGGGCGGAAAGGCAGGCCAGAAACTGATCAAGTTTCTGCTTGTTGTATGTAGGAAGTACCTTTTTTGTATAGTTTGAAGTAATTGTTTTGCAGATTAAGTAAGGGAAAGAAACAAGGAGTCCAGGATTGCCTGTAGATATATGGAATCATCCACATTTCTTTATTTCCCCCTTAGCAACTTCTGTTCCATAGCAGTTTGTGTTGATTTTGGCAACCAACTGTTTTGTTGAAGCAGGCAATGGTCTTACTTATTGAAGATTAAAGCTTGAACACAACTGCTTAAAACTAGGGGTGTTGCCTGGAATCTTAGTCATTACTATGAGTTGCAACCGATTTCTGAACTAAGTGATTAAAACACAAGTTTTAAGCCGCCATCTTAAAAAGGGATCTGATTTCTCTCTCTCTGTCTCTCCTCTCTCACACAAAAGCTGTGCCACTGACCTGTGGTCAATTTGGGGACACCTCTTTAAATGATCCAAACTTTTTAAGTTAAGTGGACCAATCAGTTGTCCAAACAACTTTTAAACTCTGCCATAGCAGCAGCACATTCTCTGTGGTCATACTCTGGCCTCTGCCAGCTCAGTTTTGTGTGTGTCTTTTTTGAGGTAATAAAAAGTAGTATTCTCCCCACCCTCCAAATCAGTGGAGGTGCACAATTTCTCAATGAGAGCTAATGGGGCACTCATTTATTTTATGAACGTGCTTTCTGGCTGAGTCCATGTGATGGAAATGAAAAAAGTTCCCGTCCTTGCAGACATCCATGTTCCTGGCCCACACCCCTTTTCTTTTGAAAAAAAAAGCGCTATTCAGATGATGTCTTTGCGGTGTGGTTTCTGAACTCTATTTTCTGGTTCCCACATTGTTATCAGTAGAATATCAAATTATATATTACACGGGGTATTTTCATGCCAACATCAGCATTCTGGTTCCAGTGGTGAGCAGAGAGCAGCATGAGAAGTAGTCTTAACCCAAATCTAAATCTTTAAAATGGGCGGGGAATCTATGGCTCTCCAGATGTTCATCATCTCCATCTCTTATCAACCCAGACGATGAGCCATGCTGGTTGGGGTTGGTAGGAACTGGAATCCAACAACATCTGGAGGGCCTTCTGCTTTAAATGATACCAGTATGCTCTAGGTCATGGGTAGGCAAACTAAGGCCTGGGGGCCAGATCCGGCCCAATCGCCTTCTCAGTTCGGCCTGCGGACGGTCCGGGAATCAGTGTGTTTTTACATGAGTAGAATGTGTCCTTTTATTTAAAATGCATCTCTGGGTTATTTGTGGGGCCTGCCTGGTGTTTTTACATGAGTAGAATGTGTGCTTTTATTTAAATGCATCTCTGGGTTATTTGTGGGGCATAGGAATTCGTTCATTTATTTTGTTTTTCAAAATATAGTCCGGCCCCCCACAAGGTCTGAGGGACAGTGGACCGGCCCTCTGCTGAAAAAGTTTGCTGACCCTTCTAGGTGCTGCACATTTATTAATTTTACTACATTTATATCTTTCCTTTCTTCTGTCATGGAACCCAAGTTGATGGTGGCTTTCTGTCAGGAGCTCATCCTACTCTCGAGTAGGACCCTGGCAGAGACACATGCGCAACTGGCATGTTCCCTCCCTCCTGGTCGATTGTTCAGGAGCTTCAAAAGCTTTCTTCTGCTTGAACATCACAGCAACCAATGTCAACTGACATCGGCACTTAGGGATCCGCAGAGTTTGCGCAGCTTGCGTAACAGGCCTCAGCAACTCAGCATTTCGGCTGATCTGCTTTATTTACATATAGGCACACATGGAGCACTGCAACATGGCTCGCTCTCTAGCATCAGACAGCAAGAGGAAAGGACAAAGGACAATAGTCCTACTTCACGGAACACAGTAACACAAACATCCTGTCTCCGTCACTTCCCACTCTGTGAAGTCAAAACATACACTGTCATGTGAAAGACAACAATCCCATGACTGCAATCATGGAGCAGGAATTCTAACACTTTCATGAGGTGCATGAAAGTGGTACCTATGCTATCATGATAATATTTGAAAACCTGTTCAAAATGAAAAAAGTTGCCAACCTTGCAGACTTCAGGTAACTTTTCTTGGTTATCTAGGACTGTCAACCCATAGGTTGACGTAAGTGATTTCTTTAAGAGCTCGCGGACCATTTCATGAGCCTAATGTTTCTGTGTTTATCTACCTGTACTATAGGTAAACCTGTCCTGCTTCTTGTGTGTAGAGCATAATGTCGGAGAGTGATCTTGCTGGAGAAGAGTACCCAGCAGAGATCCATGATTACCTTTCGGCCTTTGATAAGTCTCTTGGTTTTGTGGATGAGATGCTGAAGACTATGATGTCTGTGTCGAGAAGTGAGCTTCTCCAGAAGGTAAGAAGTAGGTGAAGGCACAGCAGTGTTTGTCTTTTAACTAATCAATGGTGGAAGGGAGGGTCCCCAGCGGTCTTTCATAATAGGGTGGCTTGTACTTCATCCAGAAAGTACGTTCTCTGCTTGCCTTATTTCTGGAAGTGGGGTTTTAGAATAAACTCGCCCTAGAATGTAAAAGCTAGGTGTTAAACTGCTACCGTACCCATTCCAGCTGTAGGAAGAACAGATCTAAAAGAATATATGAAGTATCTTTTCTTTCTCACTTTCAACACCCAGAAACAGCACAAGGCACTGCCTGAGGCCTTGGTACATGTATCGATGTACCTTAACATTTAAAATCCAATTTGTAATTTCTTTGGGGCAAAATAAAAACTCGTCCATCAGGGAATTTCACCCCCGAAGCTTTCCAAACATGAATAAATTATAAACACAACGGTTCTGACAACTCAGCTCTTTGACAGCATCCATGTTCAATCTTGTAAGCTGCACACTCATGTAACCTGAGTTTCCTGGAAATCCTGTAGGAATGAAATGATAGATTGGGTTTGACAGCCAAAAAAAACGTTTCTACCTTTTGGTGTACAGCTGCAATATCCCTGCATGCATTGTACACTTAAGTACAGGTGGCAGCGATCCATAGCCACCAGTGGCGTACGACTCCTTCCTTGCTTGTGAAGAGAAGCAACTCTGCGAGCACCTGGGGCTTTCGTAGTTGGCTGTGAGGCAGGTACACTGGTTACCTCGTTGGGTCACTGCCAGGATTGACAAGTACCGTATTTTTCGCGCCATAGGGCGCACCGGACCATAGGGCGCACCTAGTTTTTAGGGGGGGAAATAAAGAAAAAAAATTAGTTCCCCCCCCAAGCCCCAAAGAGCAAAGAAGCAAGACAGTGAGCGGGATCCATCCTGCTGGCTGTCTTGGCTTCCTCTTTAGCCACGCGCAACCTCTCCAGCCAGTGCTCCGAAGGCTTGTGGATAGCTGCCTGAAGCCTGGAGAGTGAGAGGGGTCGGTGCGCACCGACCCCTCTCGCTCTCCAGGCTTCAGCGAAAGCCTGCATTCGCCCCATAGGATGCACACACTTTCCCCCTTCATTTTTGGAGGGAAAAAAGTGCGTCCTATAGAGCGAAAAATACGGTAGATAATAAATGGGAGCAGTGGTGTAGCATAATGGCTCATAGAGCTTCCTTTGGTGGTGATGTTGGTGGAGGAGACTGCTACTTCTGAAGCCCAGAGAGCTTGCTGGGGGCTGGGGTGGAGTTACTATTTCCTACCACAGTCATTAAATATATATATATATATTTCCTTCCCATTGACTGCAGCAGATTGAGGAGGACAAAATAGGCCAGCTCCCAGGCTGGCATAGTTTTGGGGTCGGTTTGGGGAGTATTGGGGGATGCTTAGGATCCTGGAATGCCTTGTGTTGTCCTTTGACATCGATGGTTTCCCTTCCTGTGGAACAGTGATGCTTCTCTTTTGTGGGCTTCTCTTTTTCACCCACAGAAAGATCTGAAATAGCCACTCGTTTCCCTGGGAGTATACACAAGCTCCCCAAATTGCAAACTGTCAAGTCCTGTTAGGATCGGATCAGTTGGCTTTTGGGAAGCTTCCCCTCCACCTACAATTGAGGGACAACAATACTAGTCTACCTTACAGAGTTATTGTAAATATTCCTGCAAATTATGTGAAAAAATGTGAATCGTTTTGTGAATGTTCAGAACGGGTACATAGATGCTGAGTTGTGTATTAGCTTATTTCAGCATACAGTGGACACTTGGGTTGCGAACATACCGTATTTTTTGCTCTATAAGACTCACTTTTCCCCTCCTAAAAAGTAAGGGGAAATGTGTGTGCGTCTTATGGAGCGAATGCAGGCTGCGCAGCTATCCCAGAAGCCAGAACAGAAAGAGGTGTTGCTGCTTTCGCTGCGCAGCGATCCTTCTTGCTGTTCTGGATTCTGAGATTCAGAGTATTTTTTTCCTTGTTTTCCTCCTCCAAAAACTAGGTGCGTCTTGTGGTCTGGTGCATCTTATAGAGCAAAAAATACGGTAATCCGTCCGGGAGGCACGTTCGCAACCCACAGCGCCATGTCTGCACACGCGCGGGTTGCGATTTGGCGCTTCTGCGCATGTGCGACCGCCGAAACCCAGAAGTAACCCATTCCGGTACTTCCGGGTTCGGTGTGGTGTGCAACTCAAAAACGCGCAACCTGAAGTGTCTGTAACCCGAGGTATGACTGTGCTTTGTGGATTTCCTGACATTTCGTTGGGTTGGGCAGGTAATACTTTAATGGGACAGTTTTATTAGGTGTCTGAAAGTCAAGCCCCCAAATGCAGATCATGCCTACATAAATATTACTTTCTGTTCTTTAGAAATTTGTTTACTTGAAATTATTGGGTAGGATTCCATGAACAATTTGATTTTTTTTTTTTAATGAACTTTGAATTTTGCGAAGTACTGTTAGATTCCAGATTGGGGGGAATGTGCCATTGACGCTATATTGTGATAGTAATTGGTTCCTGTAGCTGGAAGCCTTTTTTGATGTCTCAGTTAAATAATGAAATGCACACGATGACGTTTGTATCTTTTGTGTTTTAGCTGGATCCTCTTGAACAAGCAAAATTAGATTTGGTCTCTGCTTACACATTGAATTCGATGTTTTGGGGTGAGTGTGGAGTATGAAATTTATGGTGGTAATTTAAGCACTTTAGCATGTAACTGCATATTTAAATATGCAACTTGGCAGCTAAGTATCCATCCTATTTCTAATGATGATTTTACAGCCACTATACTTTTATAAGTGACACTTAAAGAAAAGCTTAATTATTTAAGCCTTCGCCATTTTTGTAATAGCTGATCAATTCCCTTTTCTTGTTCTTCGGTTCCTCTAGCAACCCTTCCGATTCTCCGTAGAGCCTTTGATGCCATTTCACCCAGCTGTTAGGCATTTTATATTATGACGAATACCACTGAGTTCAGTTTAGCAAAGCAGCTTTACAGTCTTGCAATTGATGTGTGCTTTTGCAATTTAGATGTGTAGTAAGGATTCTATTTGCTAAAGTCTCTCACAACAATAATAATATTGATTAATAAAATTCATTTTACAGTATATCTTGCCACACAAGGAATTAATCCAAAGGAGCACCCAGTGAAACAGGAGCTGGTAAGATTCTTATTTAAAATACAGTACAAAATCAGATTCTTACTTAAAATACAGTACAAAATTCCTGGGATAAATGCTTGCACAATGTTAAATCCCCCCCCTCTCTCTCTGAGTGTGTGTGTGTGTTCCTGGATAGATCCTCAATTATAACCTTATTTTATATTTTTATTTTATTCCAAGCATGTCAGGGTGATATTCCTAGTTCTTCCTCTACCCCAATTTAACCTCTCAACAACCCTGTGAGGTTGATTAAGAGTCACTGACTGGCCCAAGGCCACCTAGACCAGGCACCCCCAACCTTTGGCCCTCCAGATGTTTTGGACTACAATTCCCATCATCCCTCCACTGGGCTTGTTAACTAGGGATCATGGGAGTTGTAGGCCAAAACATCTGGAGGACCAAAGATTGGTGATGCCTGACCTAGACCTTCATGGCTGTTTGCACCTTGATCTCCCGAGTCCTCTTCCAATGCCAACCCAGCCTTCCTCAACCTTGGATCTCCAGGTTTTCTTGAACAACAGCTCCCCTGAGCACTGGCCATTCTGGCTAGGAATGATGGGAGTTGTAGTCCAGACATCTAGGGACCAAGGTTGAGAGAGCCTATGTCCCCCCCACTTTAAAAAATACTTTATTTTTCAATTTTCAAAATAACTGCATTTTTTCTTTTGTATGTACATATCCAATCCAAATTTGCATTAAATGACTCCCCCCCGCCCCCTCTGGTTTCCATTCTCCCCCCCCCTTTAATTCTCCTTGCATATAATTATGTCTCTCCAATTAATTATAACTTCTTTTTTCCTCCTAATTCTATTATTAGTTCATAAATGTTACATCAAACCTGGTAATGTTTTAACATTTTTACAGTATTCTTTAAAGTAATCTGTAAAATCTTCCCATTCTTGATTGAGTTTTTCCTCATCTTGCTGTCTGATCTTCACGGTAAGTTTAGCCATTTCGGCACAGTCTATCATCTTAGTCTTCCATTCTTCTTTTGTTGGGACATTCTCTTCTTTCCAGTTCTGTGCAAGTAACATTCTAGCTGCTGTAGTCGCACACATAAACAGTCTCTTTTGCTTCTTTGCACTTCTTCTTCTATTACTCCTAGTAAAAAAAGCCTCTGGTTTTTTAACAAACGTATTCTTAAACATTTTGGAAATTTCATTGTATACCATTTCCCAGAAGCCCTTTACTTGCAGATGATGAATGAACTTTATTACGGTCACAGACCAGGATAAAAAACAACAACAACAACATATAAACAAAATAGCAGTTAGGATTTTTTTTTAACCGATAATTGTTAGAGCAAATAAGGACAAAGAAACAAGCATAGGATAAAACATCTGAATAAAATACAAGATTAAACACGGATAATGGATGGATAAAAACTGATAATTAAAACATATAAGAACTAAAAACAAATAACATGCAGTTAAAACTACTGTAAGCATAAAAACTAAAAGACTCGCAGTTAAAACAACTATAAGAGGCTGCAGAGTAGAAGCCTCTGAAATAGAGGACACGCACAACATTAGAAACTAATGTGCAGATATGGTTAAAACAGACAATTAAAACAATGTACAGCAATAAATTGAGAAACAATGTACAACAATGAACTATCCCAGGGAGTTGACTCAGAGTCACTCATGGAACCGAGTTTGGGGGTTTTCATGCCGGACTATTTTGAGTTGGGCCTACAGATTTGTACACAGAATCTGGCGACCATCCAGGTCATCTTCCTTTACTTTTTTTACACATCCACCACATATGAAAAACTGTACCTTCTTTCTCCTTGCATTTCCAGCATAAATTAGAAGAATTTTTATACATCTTAGCAAGCTTTACTGGAGTCAAATACCACCGGTACATCAGAGAGAGTTTATGCTAACCACTTTTCCACACGTGCTTCCAGTACAAAGCTTTTGCTTCCATGTGTTGGTGTACTGCCTCCTGTGAAAATTTGCTGAAGCAAAGCCACCATTGTTCATATGATTTGCTCACCTTCCTAAGCTAGGAAGGAATTCCCAGGAGGCGAGCGTTTCTTTGAAACAGTCTTGTCTGTCTCTGCAAGCAGAAGTTTCAGGCTCGGTGAAATTCCAAAAGGGCTACATGTTAAAAGTCAGACAATCCTTTCTGATGCCTCTCCCTACTGAGAGTCGAATTTTGTGCCAGCCACCTTTTCATTTGCGGAATGGAAAAATGTTGCACATCTAATAATTATTTATAACTTCCAGTACAGTGTGTTTTCCTATAAATACTTGGACTTGTGTTAATCTCTGAGGCTACCTTTCCTTACTCCTGTATGACTTTAAAAGTATCATGTGGTTGATTTACTAGCGAAAACGGGAAAAGATTCTCCCTCCCCTTTTCCAATCCCTCCATTAATTCATTTTCTCAGCAGTAAAGAATCCAGTTCGGCAACAAAGCTAAAAGCTTTTTTGGCACCAGTTGTATGTATACTGTCCAGTAATTCTACATTAGTGACATATTTACTGCCTACAATAAATCTTTTCGGTTTGTCTTTATATTCCATTTAGATGCATGAGTACAGTATATAAGGCTGGATACCTTGGAAATTCTGCTGACTTCAAGAATCAAATCAAATGATTTAGCTTGAAGAATAGAAAAACTGCAGATCAAATCTATCAGACTAGTTGTGACATATACATTGTATTATTCTATATACACGCACACATCGTTGCTAAAACAATGAACAGTGCGTAACCATAAAAGCAGATGGTTGGCAGAACTAATTGCAGAATAAAAGTTACTCTTGCGTAGAGAACTATAGCTTCATGCCCATACATAACGTGTGGCTAGATTTGCGGTGCATTCTTTTAGAAAGAAGATTTGCATTTGTTCCAAGATCTTATCTGAACCAAATTGCCATTCAATTTTTCTTACCTCTTCCCAAAGCTATGTCAGTATAGCCTATAGAAAATATATTTAGTGTTGAAAATCTCAAGCGATGTGTGAATTGTTCGTTTTGCTGAAAGCTTGAACTCCCTGAGAGGAAAGGGATTATTTTCCAATTCTTCTAGTTCCTTGTAAACATTGTATAATGAAGTGGGGTGGGGGGGGGGAAGGAGAGAGGTGGGTGGAATTTCCTTCTGAAGGATGACATGATGTCCTTATCTTGCATATGGATGCTCAATCAGTAGTCGCTGCTCTCTTGCTGTATGTCTGGTACTTAGGACCAAAGGGAACATACATGATCGGTTCAGTGGAACTTTTCAATCAGGTTATGAGAATCCATTACGTGTGTCATTGAATGTAAATCTCTTCATCAGCTCCTTTTACCTACGTTGACATATAGGCTTGCCATTTATTCTTATGGCTTGTTGGAGCACTCCTGAGGCCATCACACAACATGTTATGATGGTCTTGAGAAAACAAGGTCACTATGTAATCAAACGTTTGTTGTAATGGGATTAAAGGGAACTCCGTATACTCGTAATTTTGGAAATCTTAATCAAAAGATCGGTGCCAGCCCAGGACATTCTGCTGCCTGAAGCAGAGACAAAATGGCAGCCACACCATCAGAACCCCTACCAGGGCCAGCATTTTCTGGATCATTGGCACCAGTTCCTGCCTTTTTCTATGGTGACACCATGAGGTGAAGAGGCCACATAATTTATATTATACACCCCACCAAAGTAGAATCCTTTTCTTCCTTGAACCACTGCTATCTGAAATGACATTTTATCTAAATGAAACAACTGTGCCGAGTGGATGCTTTGGAATTTACACAGCTACCCTTTCAGGTGATTCAAAAGAATCTGATAGTGTGTTCTACTAATAGTTGTGCAAGTAGAACTGCAGGTTTAAATAGGCTGGATAATCTGCAAGCAAGTTAAAGGTGCTTATGGGGCGTGGGTTTTTTTGGAGAGGCTATTTTGGTTCCACTTTTAGTGTAATGGGGAATGAAAAGAAGATTATAGGTCCCCCTTTCCCTCTAAGAGTTATGTTTAACACAGTGTTTAGGGCTTTGTAGGTCAGTAGCAAAGTATAAAGTCAGATAGCCAGTGCAATTCTTCTAGAAGTGGTGTCATGTGCTTATGGTACATCCCTCTACTCAGCCACCCAGTCAGACCACACCGACCCACAGCACGCAGTCAGTTCAAGACCCTTGCCTGTGGCGACTGATGGTCATGGTCAGCCAGACAATTTCAGGCCTCCAGAGCTTCAATGGATCCCATCAAAAAGGACTAGGTGGTTCCTTCTGGACCTGTTACAACCACGGTGTCCCAACTTGTCATGGTGGCAAAGTATTTTATCCACTAGGTCCCTAGAGACATGTCCCAGCAGGCTTTCGAGGGCTCCAGTACTTTGTTCACTTAGATATTAATAAACTTTGCACCACTTAGAATAGCTCTGCTGGCTTTTTGAGATGCAATTGAGGCAACCCACAATCCTCTCTTGCTTCCCCCACTACTGTAAATAATGGGCAATTATGCATTCTTAATGCACATCGGTGCCAAACTTATCGCTCTGCTTTCCTTTGGACCACATCAGTGAGGCTGAGGCGTGCGTGTCTTGTTGTCAGGGCAGTTGGTCCAGGTTTATGTGCTCCCTTGCTTAGCCATTGCTCTATGGCCCTTTTCAGTGCAGGGCTGCCTTAGCTGTGGCCCCCCAGATATTGCTGAATTACAAGCCCCATCATCCTTGATCATTGGTCCTGATGGGAGCTGGAGTCCTTGAGGAGGCTGGAAGGAGCAGCTTCTCCTCCCTGAGCTAAGCTAGCAACACTAACAAAAGGATCTCAGACATGAATTTTGCATTTAGCCCTTGAGAATTAGATTTTCGTCTTGGAGGAGAGTCTCCATTGTGAGTTAGTTTTTGGCGAAGTTGCATTCTGGAATGTGCAAGGAAATAATAGTGTGGGGTGGGTCTTTTGTTTACCATTTTGCTTAACAACCCCTACACCTTTTTTATAGGATGTGTGATCTTTCCATGTCTTCCAGGAGAGAATAAGAACCTACATGAACAGAGTCAAAGAGATAACGGACAAGAAAAAAGCCGCCAGGCTGGATAAAGGAGCCGCTTCGAGATTTCTGCGGAGTGCCCTCTATGAACCCAAACCTCAGAACAAGTCTGCAAAGAGAACTCCCATTCCAGCCAAAAAGAAGAAAACACACTAGGATTTCCCTGTTTTCATTGGTATAGGTGGAATGAATATTTTAATTGAATGCGTCATGTTTCATATGCAGTAAAAATACGTTTTGGTGAAATAAATTTATAACAAAAAACCATTTGAGATTTGTAACCCTGCCTCAGATCCTGTTGTTTATTTTGACTTTTGATAGAGAAGCTGAAATTAACTAATCAGGGTCTTCCAACCCACCTACTTTTTACAAAGTAGAACTTATAGCTAATTTGTCTTTTGATCTGGGAAACACGACAAGGTATCCATATGCTAGGCAGCTGAAGAGCAACTACTGCAGAACAGATAGTTTGCAGATTGCACCGTCCGTGATCAAATGTATCTGCTTGTCTGCATCTGACCCTTGTGTGCAGTTCTTTCGTGCTAAACCAGCTTAGCTGCTGCTGCTGCTGCGGTTTATCAAGTACAGTGGTGCCTCGCAAGACGAAATTAATCCGTTCCGCGAGAGTCTTCGTCTAGCGGTTTTTTCGTCTTGCGAAGCAAGCCCATTGACGGATTAGCGCTATTAGCGCTATTAGCGGTTTAGCGGCTATTAAAGGCTTAATGGCTTAGGGGATTAGCTGCTAAAAGGCTATTAAAGGCTATTAAAGGCTTAGCAGATTAGATAAAGGGGGGGAAAAGCGGAAAAAAAATCTCAAGACTCGCAAGGTATTTTCGTCTTGCGAAGCAAGCCCATAGGGGAATTCGTCCTGCGAAGCAACTCCAAAACGGAAAACCCTTTCGTCTAGCGGTTTTTCCGTCTTGCGAGGCATTCGTCTTGCGGGGCACCACTGTATCCTCTTGAATGAATCTGCTGTTAATAAGAATTGCTTCCTTCCGTTCTAGTTCTGCTGGTGCTCTAGTTCAGGAATGACGGAGCGTCCAGAAGTGGCTGCACTTCTGTACAGCTCCCACCAGCCTCTCTGCCCAATGGCCATACTGGCTGGAGCGGATGGAAGTTGGCAGTCCAGTAGCATCTGAAGGGACACAGGTTCTTCATCCCTGCTCTAGCTCAACTGGTTAATGTTTTAGTTGGTGTTCTTGCTGGAGTGCCTCCCCCCACCCACCCTTCAGTTCCATTCATGTTGCTATTGGCATCTATCTTTCTCAAGAGACAATGGAGTGCTCTTCTGGAATCGCAATCAGACCACTGGAGAATCACAGCGCCTGCTGTGGCTGCAGAGACTATAACTCCTTACTGCTGCCTCCCACGTCGTTTTTTGCTGCACTAGCAGCACTGAAATGACCTCTCCTGGGCACAGACCTGAGCAAAGTGTATATGGAGGTCCAGGGCTGCACAGAAGACAAGACCTCACTGCTCAGACTGATGTGGTCCAAAGGAAAGCAGAGCAATACGGCTGGTACCAGCTTGGCCGCAGGAGTTGCCAGAAGGAGGCGTATAAGACACTACCCAACCATCTTGGGGACTTCACTCCACATTTGTGTAGGGTTTACTCCTAAGCCTTTTCATCTCCCGAAGATGTCCTACAAGGCATCCATTAATATATGTGTCAGCTAAACCACTCACAATCAGAGCAAACCAGGTTACCCTTGACAGTTCCTTAGAATGTGAACTTCACCTGCTAATTTCCCCCCCATAGTCTTTGAAAGCCTTTTAGGATGTGAAAGGGGAAAGAGAGACTTCTTGGTGGATGCCTCTTGTGAATTTCTCTTCATGTCAGTTAAGCTTCCCATAACTAGTTTCAGTATCTACAGGCAGCAATGTATATTTTGTATTACAAAAATCAGCATTATAAATCGCAGTAACCTAAGGTCAAATTTATGGGACGCGGGTGGCGCTGTGGGTTAAACCACAGAGCCTAGGACATGCCGATCAGAAGGTCGGTGGTTCGAATCCCTGCGATGGGGTGAGCTCCCATTGCTCAGTCCCAGCTCCTGCCAACCTAGCAGTTCGAAAGCATGTCAAAGTGCAAGTAGATAAATAGGTACCGCTCTGGCGGGAAGGTAAATGGCGTTTTCATGCGCTGCTGTGGTTCGCCAGAAGCGGCTTAGTCATGCTGGCCACATGACCCGGAAGCTGTATGCCGGCTCCCTCGGCCAATAAAGCGAGATGAGCGCCATAACCCCAGAGTCGGCCACGACTGGACCTAATGGTCAGGGGTCCCTTTACCTTTAAGGTCAAATTTACAATGTAAAATAAGCAAATATGCATACATATCCTTACTGCAAACAGTGGAAATGACTAGCACTATGTTAACCCTGGTTAATAGAAGCCCTGGTCAGTCTTCTGGGTTTGGTCTAGATGTCCCTTGGAATCCCTTCTACCCCCTACAGTTCTGTGATTCTGTAGGGGGTAGAAGGGATTCCATCTTCTCCCCTACTCATGAAATTTCACCAGGCTGGGTTTGAAAATTTTCAAGTAGTCATAGGGGTTAGAAACTTGTTTTTTCTTTCAAACAAACAAACAAACAAACAAACGAGCCCCCTCAAGCATTTGCCCTGTTGGTTGCGGACTGACTCTGCGGAGAAGTCTGTTAGTCAAAAAGGGAAAAGCCAATTTGTACTAACTTGCATCCTATACCCAGTGAAAGTGGAACCACCAAGGGCCCAGCACAGAGCTTTCCAAACACTTCATGTTGGTGACACTTTTTAGACATGCATGAATTTGTGGCGCTGTGGGTTAAAACACAGAGCCTAGGACTTGCCGATCAGAAGGTTGGTGGTTCGAATCCCCGCGACGGGGTGAGCTCCTGTTGCTCGGTCCCTGATCCTGCCAACCGAGCAGTTCGAAAGCACGTCAAAGTGCAAGTAGATAAATAGATACCGTTCCGGCGGGAAGGTAAAGGGCGTTTCCGTGCGCTGCTCTGGTTCGCCAGAAGCGGCTTAGTCCTGCTGGCCACATGACCCGGAAGCTGTACGCCGGCTCCCTCGGCCAGTAAAGCGGGATGAGCACTGCAACCCCAGAGTCGGCCACGACTGGACCTAATGGTCAGGGGTCCCTTTACCTTTACCTTTACATTTGGTTTTACTAGCAAACCGGAGGTTAAACGAAACCCTTTCCAGCTCTGGGAGGAGCACGGGGAGTGTACATTCAACACACCTACACACTGCAGCCAACACACTTAACATGTCACGACACACAGTTTGGAAAGCTCTGGCCTAGCAGATTGAATTAAGGTGTCTGTTTGCTATTGCAGTGAACATTCAGTTCACACTCAATTTACTCTGGGACTCTCGTTTTAAGCACAATTCTCTCTGTTGGTTTAAAATTGGGACATGTTAGATTTCCTCCGTTCCACTTGGTTGAGAGCCATCGTTCTCATCACTGTTCTCCAGATTTACTTCATAATGTGACTACATTTCGTCTAAGCTGTTTGATTAGTTTGAGATGCTGTCCCCACTGCTTGTTTCTGCTAAGCTGATTCTTTAACCCTCATATGTTTGCAAAAGCATTTTCCTAATCACAGAATCAAATGGAATATAGAATATCCTAATCGTAGAATATAGTTTAGTCATATTTTTTTTGGTGGGGAGAGGGAATGATTTATTTGATAATGACTCAAATTCAGTGTTTACACGTGAAATAATAAGGAATTAAAAAAAAAGATTAGAGGTATACAAGGATCATATTTTGGGAACTGTGCTGATATTTGTTAGTTTCTGTGGGACCGCAGCAATCGACTTAAGGTCTCTTCTTATAACTTGAAGTCTTCTGAAGGTGTGAATAAAGAAACCTGTCCAAATGGTTACTCCTTAGCTGCGGCATTGATGTAAAGCAGCAAATGGATTAAAGGAGTTTTCATCACGTTGGGTATAATTTAGGCCCCCGTGTGGTACTTTCAAGTAAACATGAGGCCTACCTCCTGGGGATAACAGATTTGGATATTCCGCAAAAGAGGAAGGGTATCTTTTTATATGCGACGGCGGCAGCAAGAGTTCTGATCGCGGCAAAATGGAAGAGTAATGAAATCCCCTCTATACAAGATTGGATCCAAAAGCTGACAGAATATGCCAGATTAGATGGTCTATCAGAAAAAAATAAAGAATAAATCAAAACAGGTATTTGTTTCAAAATGGGAGGTTTTCAAAGAATATCTGAAAAATAAATATAGTAGTTTAAATTCTGTTGCAGCATTCGAGGAACTTCAGTAATAGTTGCAAGGTAGATATAAGAAATTAGATATATTAAGAACAAGTTTAATTATGATAAAAGTGTGTATTGGCAATAAGTAATATGAAATCGAAATATGGAATAGACGGGAGGTTGGGTCTTTAGTGTTAAGACCAATATATGTTTTATTCTTTGCTAAGAAAATTATGTGTCTATGGTTATTCCTGTGTGTAATTTGGTATTTGTGTTTTTTTCTTTTTTCTTGCTGTATCAATAAAAATCTTTTTTTTTTTAAGAAAAAAAGTAAACATGAGGCAGGATTAGGCCGCTTCTGTAGCACTCATGCAGTTCCTCTTCCCTAGCTGGAGGAGTAACACCTGCAGTTTCAGAACCTGCCAGTCAGCCTCTCCTTTTTAAATATTTGAAAACTGTCAACATACGGCCTTCCTTTCAACCACCCCTCTCTTCACAGATAGAAAGTGCTATCTGCACACAGTTGGAGTTAGGTACAAGTACAGCAGCACGATCTATCTTTGAACGCTGTTGATTGGGACTGCTTTTGATTTTCAGTGAGTCGTCACAGACATTTAATCAAAACATTATTTAGGTACACTGAGCACACGGATAGCTGTTTAGACAAGAATCAACCAAGGAGTTTTGAACTGCCAAGTGTTGCAAAGGTAGCAGGCTGCCGAGGTGGATTTTGCTTCAATAAACCGTCTTGTTGGCTTCCCAACCAAGGGAACTCAAATAGCATTGTGTTTGCATGCAGAAATAGTTACAGCACTTTATGTAGCTGTGCAAATCACCCCTCTACCCCAAATTGGGATGATTGTGGGAGAGATAGTGTTTCCCCTTCTATGTGCTGAAAAATAAGTTTGGAGACAGTCCTATTTCCTTGAAATTCTTCTTAAGAGAGAGAAAAACCCACGATTTTATTTTCATTGATGGTTCATTACTGACTGAGGAACATTGTTATTGCCCGTTGGGCAGATATTCTGGAAGTCTCTTAAACCTGGAATTGTGAGATGGCTAAAGGTAAAGTGACCCCT